CTGCTGTTCAAATGAGAGACCTGCTTCATGCTTTCTTCTGCAGAAAGTGTATGAGACACCATGAAGTGATACTTTAGGAATTATATCACGGCTGTTCAAACACAGACAACATTTATCCATATCATCACTCATCTGTGGATCAACCAAGTAACTCAAGGTGATATCAAGTCCCTCCAGCTTAAGCTCCTAAGCAATCCTGGTAAAAATAAGTGGGCAAGCTCCATTCCCTCCATATACAATGAAAGAAGCAAGTGTCTTTGAAGGTTTCTAAAAGGAAATCCTGTCAACCTAACTGAAATGCCTGAAGGCCTTCAGAGGGACTCTACTCACTGATTAGAGAGAGTGCTTGCCTTTAGGTGGCTGCTTTATAAGTATTTAACATTCAGAAGCACCTCAAATGCCCTAGCCATGCACACTGGATTCCACCTTCAGCATCTCATTAAAGCAGTACCTAGGCAAGCGTTTGCATTTATTTACCCTTTTATCCCCACACTTTGTATTAATTTCTCTCAAACATTAGTCGTCTATTTAAAATGTCAAAAAAAAACCAAGCAGGTCTTTCTATCTTCTGAGTAACTCTGCAACAATTTTCTCCAAAATGCTTTCATTAGAAGCATGTACATCAAACCTTGTGCACATCACCATGCTGGCACGTGTCTGTTACTAGGCATTCTGCCACAGTCGGATGCAATGTCCCAGTACACAGAGTGAGAGTCACCAGGTATGGTCTCATACCCCTCAAGTGGTGGCCATGTTTCTGCCCTTCACCCCAAGCCACCAGCTTCTGCTTGGATGCTGAGCTGTCTGCCTGCTTGCTGAGCTGAATCAGCTCACCAAACCAGCAGCAAACGCAGCTTCCCAATGATTCAGTGAGCTCATGGGGTGGTGAGTCAGGCGCCAGACCTGGCACAAGGGAGGAGAAGGGAACGCACACCTGCAGGCAGAGGATGGGAGAATTGAGGATGACTTTCTCCAGGGCAACAAGCGTAGACAAGGAGCCTCGCCCTCTGCTGTGATAAAACCTCTGTACCAAATGGGAATTATCAGACAAATGATCAGAAATACCAAGGGGAATTTGATTACAGCAAACCTCAGGTAATTTTTGTAGCCACCATGCATAATGAACACAAACCCACTTTATTCACATAGCAAGATTTGGGATTCCCGTTAGTTTTCTCCGCTTTTCTGGAGCTGTGTGCACGTCAGCTTCCTCAGCAAATACAGGGATTAAATTTAAAAATCAGAACGGAGAGATGTGAACTTCTCAAGCAAGATCTTAACCCTAACACTTGATGCTTTACAAAGGAGGCTAAATATCACGAGGCTACTGATAAAAGACAGGGGACTCGGCAGTTCTGCAGACATTTATGAGCTTGGTAACACATTTTTCTCTTTGTAAGTGAAAACAGACAAACAGTGCACACGTTAAAATTATGAACATCTTGGCGCATTGCAATTACAATACTGGAACAGACCACTGTTCTGTTTTTATGGATGCTTTTCAGAAAAACAATCCTTCTTTTCAGCTCCCTGTTACATTTATTCTCCAGAATTCTTGTGCCAAAGGTTTCCCCATTTTCTCTGTGGGTTTTCCAACAGACTTCACCTCCTGGGGAGCACCACAAAAATACAGCTGCTGTGGAACAGCATCTCTCCTTGGTAGGATGCAGTAGAGTCACATCAGAGAGATGGCAACATGGAATTTCATAATTATTCTCAGACAACATCAGGAGAGATTATTTTTTTTTTAAACCAAACATAAAATGATTGATTTTCAGTGTTTTGCTTTCATTTAGAATCTCTGTGAATTATTCTGTGGAAAATCTAGCACTGCTCTACTAAACAGCATAGAACCACATCTAGCAATCTTCAAGCATAAGCAATGGTATTACCACACCATCTGTGACAAATGTGGTGGAAAAAAAGGAACAGTTTCAAGTTTCACCTGTACTACCATCTGTGTAGGGAAAAATAACAATTACAAGATAACATGGAGTCAATTTTTTGCTATAAAATAATTCAAAGCAAAATGTTAAGAACATAGTAAAGAACTCCTGGCTAAAGAGCTCATCTATATTACTGAAATGTTTTACTAGAATCAAATTGCCAGTGATGGCTAAAGCCAGGAAGGCTCAGAGCTCCAACACTGATAGAGCAATCACAGCAAGAAAGACTTCACCAAAGGTTTTAAACAGTTTCTGAAAGGGGAAATTGAAGTTCTGGGAAATAACTGATATCAAAACAGCTGTGTGGTCTGCACAAACCAAGAGGTGAATTGAATACTACTTTTTTCAGAAAATAAAGGTCATACGACACCAAAAATTAAAACAGAATTCATCTTACCAGGGAAAGATCTTAGAGAGGCTCTCAAAAGGATTATACTGACATACCTAAAACATGTTAAAATGATTCTGCTACAAGATAAAAGCTGTTTGGTTTGGCAATTCAGATGTTACTGTGCTGCACTCTGAGGTAATACTGGTGGAGGCATGAGGAATTGTTCCATTTTAGGGTATCCTACAATCATCCAACAGAATCTACTGTGCACGGCTTGGCAAGACCAAGCAGAGCGACTGATCATATGGAAACAGAGAAGGTCGGGAAAGCCTAAATAAGAATGTGTTGCAGCAAAAAAAGTGAAAGATGAAAAAAAAAAAAAAAAAAAAAGTTGGTGGGGAAGCAAATAATAGGTTGCTGTCCAGCTGTGAAAGCAGAGAATGATGGTTTAGGACTTGTTTAAGGAAGAAACAAGGTGACTTGCTGCCACTGCAGGAGCACAACAAAAGATGGGTGTCATCTCCCATCTCCTGCTGCGTTTCATACTTGTAGCTGTGAAGATCCACAGGTAACCACATCGCAGACAGTGTGACTCAATGGAACACTCACCATGTACATCCACCCCCGATACCCAACTCTGTAGCTCTGTGTTTGAGGTACTGAGAGAATATAACACGGGAGAAGCGGCTGCGGGGTGACATGCACATCACGTAGCTCTGTGTGAGCTGCACCATTCAATGCCTTTAATCTCACATCCTCAAAGCCTCCTCAGATAGTAGTTAAAATTTAAACAGGCCTTCTTAAAACACACTCGTGATCCCATTATCGGGATCGTGGATGGGATTACAATGAGGGTGGCAATGGTGGAAAATTTTTTAGGAGTGGTCTCGTATCACCAGCAGGAGTGGCCACTAATTGGATTCTGTCTGTGTCACTACAGAGCTGTCACGGGACCCCCTTCTCTGTTGAAGGCTGCAGCTCTCAGGGCACTCAGAAAGGCGTTTTCTCAATTGTTATCACATCAGTCTGCCTACCCACTCAAACACAAATCTCCAAAGCCCTTTCTAAAGTGGAGGAAATCATAGAGGCCAGTGCTCTCATCACACCCAGACCAATGTCTGGCCTTCCCAGATGAAAGCGAGCCTGCTGTTACGCAGCACTCAAACTGCACGAACCAACACCTAACACCAAATGAGGCATGTAAGTTAAACAAAGCTAGATAATCAACTGCAAACCACCAAATAGGCTGCAACAAAGTGACCTCGGCAGATCAGAATTTGGAAATCTTTCAAAATAATTTTTTCCATTTCCATTTAACATCCACCGAGTGGGTCGGGCTTTTCTAATGTCTTCCACATTTGAAAATGCTGTCCCTCACATCACAACATTTTTAATAAACTGTTTTTATCAGTTCCAATTACCATCATTTTCATGCTGATCCTTGCCATCTCTGGGACACTTCAGGCTCCCTACAAGCATTTTTCCCTAACAACCTCTCATCTAGCCTACTTTCTGAAGATGTACTTACATGCCATTTGGAAACTTACCTTTTTTTTTTTAGGGTTATATTACACCAATCATAATTATTTTTTTTTTTTTCTGAAACTGAGACAAATTCAGTGAAAAGCCAAAAAGCCATGCCAAGCAGGAGAAACTTGCGCAATATGACGGAACAAGCTCACCCACCTTGATTATAACGTGATAAGAAGAGGAAGCTCCTGACAAGCAATAAACTGACACATAATTAAGACAATTCAGAGCAGAACACACTCGGACTGGAAAACGTTCTCTTGAGCTCTGTCTCACTGTTTGGAGCAGTGGGGGAAAAAAAAAAAACTATGAAAACTATCAATACCAATCTGGTCACCAGTACCCACAGCAGGGGACTGGAGCTCCATGAGCTTTAAGATCCCCCCCAGCCTCAGCCATTCTATGATGCTGTGATTCCAGTATCTAGGAGTGGAGGGGATACATGGGGGAAAAACAAACCCACCACATTTTGTGCATTGCAGATTCCCTCACATCACAAACGCAGTTGATAGTACAGACATGCCTGGTATGTTCAGCATTCCCTATCAAACAGAGATGAATTAGCCGCAACAAGAACATCTTCTTACAGTGGCTTATGGATTTTTTTGTTCCCCTGGAATTTCTAACCTTGAGCGTATCACGGATGTCCTAAAGTCACACCGGTCTCAGATCTCTCCCTCAGATTACTTTTATCTCACTGTGAGGAACATCTCTGAGAGTTCTGAACACTTTTACAGCTGCTGGGATGCTAATGGGAACTTCATGTGTGCACCCAGCACAAGTGCTCTTAGGGAAGAAAAAAAAAAAAGCCAATGTCAAAGGCAGGTATGTAGAAGTCACCATAAATATGTCTTTGAATGTTTACCATCTGGAACAGTAGATTACATTTTGACAAGAAGCTGGACTGCCCTGTGGGCATTGTCTTTTAAACAGCCCCATCATTATAAAGGAAGGAAAAACATGATTTGCTGCTCCTAGTTCTCGGTAGGATTTTCTGGCAGTGCTAGAGAAACTTCATTGTTGGTTTTTTTTTTTCTTATTGAAGCAATTACATGATGGGCACGTGCAGTTAGAGACTCAGTTTCTGGAAAAAATATGTTTTCTTATAGATGATGTGATCTATGGCCTGATGGTGCCCACAGAGAGGGCTGTGACAGCACAGGCTGAACATCTCACAGCACTGCAGTGCTCACCTTATTCTGCTTGGATGGCTGAAGCACTGCGTGCTGAAGCTGGCTTATAGGCTTCTCACAGACAGGCTGGGAAGAGGGAAAAGGAGAAATTCAATGCACATGGCATAAAAGGCTTTAATGCAGAGTCACAGAGAGGGGGCTTGGTTGGTTGTTTTTTTTTGTAGGTTTTTTTTTTTTTTTTTAAGCTTGCAAAGTTTCCATCACTTTTTCCAGTGATAAAGACTGAGAAAAAAGTCAAAACTGTGAAGTTTTTTCCACATAAGTATTGATCTAGTCATGCTGCCTCATTAAGGATTTACCTTATTGTGTGGAACTGCTGTGGTGCCTTTTGTGGCTACTCACTTACCAAAGAGTCTATCTCAATATACAGGCTAAGACCAGTCTGTAAGGGGGCCAAAGAGAAAAAGTTGGTTTGAGACAAAACTCCATGTGCAACTTGAAACACGGTTTTATGGGCATCGCTACACAACCAAATGCCAAAATCCCAAAGCACCAGCTATAAATCCCCTTGCTCAGCCTAGTACACAGATCTCATTTCAGCACACATTATATACAGCATTATTTATAGAAAATCTCACCTGTAAGTGGTGAGGAGAGTGTGAGATTTCCTTCACAAGTAGGAGGCCAGTAACTCATAGGCACACAGGTATGTGCGAGTCAGTGTGAAGATCTGTTACAGCGCGAAGAAACAAATCAGGTTGTTGCTCTGCACAGGAAGACATAGACACAGTACATTATTTATCTTAAAAGGCAAAAAGCTCATTCTCCAGTAATTCAGAGTAATGCAACGAGACCATCCTAACTCTAAAAGTTGACACAGTCCAGAGATAGCATTTCTGACTTCTCACCTCAGTTGCTGGGCTTCCACCATGCAGACATCAATGAATTTAGCAGTTAATTTCAATAAAAATGATAGCAGAGTACTTCCCTAACTAAATTCCTATTGCATTTCTCCCCCTATCCCTTCTCAAACATCATTTTTTCCCCCTTACATTTAACACTTCAGGTCTCTTGTTCAGAATCCATACAGTGAGACTTTAATGATCCATTCTAGGGATGCTACTTAGTTTGCAATGACTTGTAAAACTTCCACAGACAGATCTGCAAATGAATTACATCCATCTGCTCTGCTGCAGCATTACCCTGTGAGCTGCGTTCTCCTTACTTTCCCGATTTTCTTCCGACTTTAAGCCCATGTGTAAACCAAACCGACCAGTAGAAACCCCCGCCAGCTCTCTGTAAAGGACTCCTCAAACTTTACAGACATCTCAAATGCACTTTCCAAACACTGCCTCGCAGCTGAGCCTCAGACGGGCTGCTGCCCTGCTCGAACATCTCCAAGCCGAACAAACCCTCGGTTGCGATCCAGCCCCCCCCCCCCCCCCCCCTCCATTCCCCCCACCGCCCGACCACGCAGCACCGGGGGTCCGCACGTGTGTGCGGGAGGGGCTGAGCTCCAGGAGAGCTTTCACAACGCGCACCTTCCGCAGCGGGACCCGGGCGCGAGCTCTGCGGGCAGCGAGCATCGGGGCTGTGCGAGCTACTATCTGTCAGCCGCACAACAGCAGCACTGAGAAGGCAGCACAACTGGCTTTGACAAGTGTGCCGTGCTAGCATTCCTCCGAGGGAAGGAGAAAGAAAAAGAGAGAGGGGAAAAAAAAGAAAAAAAGAAAAAAAAAAAAGCAAGCAAGCAAGAAAGAAAAAAAAAAAAAAAAAAAAAAACAAACAAACAAAAAAACAGGAGGTGCGTTTTACTTTACCTGAATAAAGTGTGGGGTTTTTATTTTCCCCTCTGAGCTGCTGGAGAGGATTCCTCTCTCTTCTCCCCCAAAGCTAGGTGGTTCTTCTTTTGCTCGCAGCTCCCACTTGGGGAAGACCACACAGCTCCAGCCGGGCTGCCTCTCTGCCCTAATCCCCACTCGAGTGTGATGACACACACTAACCCCAACCATCTGTTGAAACACGTCCTCAAGCACTCAGCACAGTGGTGTGTCAAGGCGGGCTGCCCAATCCGATCGCTGGGGCTGGGTGGCTCTTAAGGAGCTGGAGGCAGAGACAAGGGCTGAAACTATAGGGCTGAGAACTCTTTAGCGAAGTAACCTGAGATTTGGAGAAAGGGCTGCTATTGAAGAAAGGAGCAGAAGGGGGAGGTACTAGCGGGAAGGTGGAGGAGCGGATTAGCCCGGTGGCCGCTCGTGTTCCTGCTCTCGACACCCGGTTTTCCCAAGGGACCGCCGGGACCTCCTCGCAGTGGGATGCACAAGGGCAGCACTGCAATCTCTCTCTTTTTTTTTTTTTTTTACTTTCTTTTTTTTTTTCTCCCCCTCTTTTTCTTTTTACGGCGGGTCTATTGAGGGCAATCTCCTCCGAGCTAAAAGAGATAAAAGACGCGGTCCGAGATCCCGATCAACTGCTGCCGCGGGCGGCGTTAGCGCTGCAATGTAACATCTGCATCTCCAAATCCCAGCTCCGTGCCGCGCCGCGATCCCTCCAACCTTCCTGGGGGAGAGGCTGAAGGAAAACCGGGGGCGAAGAGAAGGAGGGGGGGGATCCAAAGGGCAAATATTTATTCTCCTACAAGGAGACCTGCAGATCCTTACCGCAAACCCACTCTTCCCCCAGTGCAAATAAAGGCGCTTCCAGGCGTGCCCAGCGGCACACTCGGGGCTGCTGCTGCTGTGACAGCTCCGGCCGCCGCGTCGCGCCCCGCTCCGTTCCGCTGCTCTCGGAGCCCTCCCCGCTGTCGGCCCCGCGAAGCCTCCTGCGATCGCCCCCCACCAAATTCCCACCCCTTTCCCCCCCCCAAAACTGGGTCTGGGGGCTCCTCGGCAGTCTGGGCCATACCTCAGTTTCCCTCGGTTACAAAACAAGTATTATCGCACCTTCCTCTCCTCAGGAGGACAGCGCCAGGAAAAATACACTAATTCGCAGAAGATGTCCAGGAAGGATAGATAAGCGACGCAGAAAAGCTGCTAAGTGCCAAAGAAACAGTTCTTTCCTTTCCCCTCCCTGTAACAGGATAGCACGGAAGAGAGACTTAAAATCTCAAGGGTTTTTACCTCATTACCAAGTGCCTGACTTGACACTTGCATTAAATCTACATTTCACATTATGACAGATGTTGTGTTTTCTTTGAACTGAAAGGGAGGAACGTCGTTTTGGCACTGGAAGTTACTTCAAAAGTGTTAACATCCAACTCGAAGGTTTGCAATTGTGAAAAGATGGACTCCATTCAGCTATATGAAAGCCATATGAGAGCCCCGAAACATTGATTTGGCTTACTTGGACCTTAATATGTTACACAAGGCTATTTCTGAACTGCTGGTGATCGCTTAATAAAAAGTGAGATTAAAGAGCCATGGTTTATGCCCAGTGAGCAGTTATCAGAGCTGAGCTGCAGAAGAAAGAAGGAAAATATGAAACTATAGACATGATTCCATTTGTTCAGATTCTTCCCAAAAGTGATTATGTGGTGCTGGATTCAGCCTATTAAACTGAAACTGCTTTCGCAGATGTTGAATATGCACTCAAATCTGCTAATTCCACATAAATAAGCAACCAAACAATACTTTTAACAGTAGTAGGCAGTGAGAGGTAGGGATGCAACTACTGTCCCTGGGGTACTATAGGATTCTTAACGTTGCCAGTAATATCTTCAGGACAAGGGTTTGGTTTGATTTTCTTTCATTCTAGCAGATTGCATTCTGTAAACAGGCTGGATAGCCTCACACATTTGGAAAGGCTCTGGAGACATTATTAAACTAGTTTGCATTCTCTTTCACTGTACTTCTTACCACTATTGTATCAGTAGCTCGGCATTAAAAATGCATAGCAGTTAGATGCGGAATATCAAAAAGCCAAAACAAATTGTGCTGCATCATCCCGTGTACTGAATCACTGCCCAATGTGTTGCTCACCTCCAGGCTTCTGTCTGATGTTGGTGAGATGGGAAGCAAACTGAATAGGGTTGAACTCTGCTTCTAAACAACATGAAAGACAGTTATGTGCAGTGCAATTGCAGTGTGTGTATACCTACACAATTTTGTGTACCACATCTGTGTAGAAATACACGTCAGTGAGATACTCAACACTCACATGAGGTACAAGCCCTGTTTTTTTTTTTTTTTTTTTTTTTTAATGCCTGAGTAAATCAGGCACGCCTCTACTAATGCCTGTCAAGTCACAGTAGTGTAAAATTGACATGGTTAAAAGGAGCCCTAATTGTGTGTTTTGTACACAGAGACACATGCGTGCACACACTTATCTTCAAAGGCTCTTCATCAAGTCTAAATACAAACTTTCATCTCCCAAACCAAAGTTAGCAATAGTCCTCAAACACTGGGTACAATCATGTTCTCACATAAAAGCTACCGCTGATGTTGCGGGATCGTTTAACTGCTACCCTATGACTGCAGCCAGATTTAGTTTGCTGTGACAGCTTAAAGCAGACTTTTCTGCTACTTCTCTCTCCAGACGGCCATCTGCAAAGAGTTTAGAATCTAGAAGCTGAAAAGAAAGCTGCACTGGAAGGGCTGTACGTGGGGTACTGTTAAAAGAGCGCACTAGAAACACATTCTCAAGATGACTCTTGGACCTGTGAACTCCTCCTGGGGTCCGGCTGACTCCTCACAGGTAAGACTTGTAACTAACTGAATAATGTGCTCTCATATGTAGCTCTGGAACATCCCAAGGTGCAAGACCAATTCTAGGCAATTGTGACACTGAGCAATTCGTTGCTACAGTTAACATGCCCCTTACTTGCTGGCTCCAGAAAGTTTCCTTAAAGCCAGGGCACCGTGCTTCTCTCTCATACTGTATGGCTTAACCCCACCACCTTTCCTCCAGCACAGATGGCTTTGGCAGCTTGGTTTTGCGTCTGTGCAGACATATGCACACATTCACACCTGCGCTTCTGCTCAGAACCTAAGGTAACTCTTAACTGACAACTTCAGGTCTTAAAAGTAAAATTAAAGGGAATCTTTTATGGTCCTTGCAGTACCCGCAGTCTACCTCTGCTGCCAATATGAATAAAACCTGCTTTTTGATTTCCTTGAATCAGCATAAGCCCACCCGGGACTCAATTTTTGAAGTGTTTATTTAGGAACAGGAAAGGTCTATAAATGCATAGACAAGCCCACAGGCAAATTCTAGATACACAGAGGCTCACACTGATGATATATCAGTGAGATAACTGGATAATATATTGGTGAGATACAATAAAAACACAGACTGACAAAAAACATATTAATAGGGAATTACCTCTCAAAAGATCCAGGCAAACGACAGATTCAAAGAAACAAAAAGACACGTATCCTCACACAGAGCACAGTTAAATCTTGGAACTTCTTGCTGCAGGATGCAGTGGAGGAAAGTGTTCCAGTATTCAAGTGATTGAGCAAGGTCATGAAAAAAGAAAAATCTATTCACAGCAATTAAGTATGAACACAGAACTTTTGGTACACAGAATCCCTGAATTGCTTGGAGAGGATTCTGGCCAAGTATCATTCTGTGCTTGTCCTGTTCTCCCAAGCATCTACTGCTTTCCACTGGTGGAAAGTGCCAAACCTAGTATGCCCACGATTTAGCATGGTACAGATGTTCATGCTTTCTTATAAGAATTTAGCCATTGGAAGTTTTGGGTCTCATCACAGGGTAGTATGAGAGAGATGAATTCCTTTGAAGAACTTCTGCCAAAACTTTTAAAGGTTGACTCATAAATCCATATTCAGGAACTGAAGTAAAAATGGTCTGATCAGAATTATTGACTATACAACAGCTGCTACTAGAGTTAGCAGTTAATTTTACTTCTCTCCACGTGCATGCATTCTAAAGCCATAGGGGGTTTGTGCAAAATTTGGGTGCTAAATCCAAAAGTTTATTCTGCACAAAAGGCCATTCAGCTATTTCCTAACCTGGAGCCACCTAAATTCCACAGACACATGGCCTTTTAAATGCATTCCCCAAGCACCTCTATGAATTCCCCATGCTGAAAGCCACTGCCAAAGACCAAGGAAGATTCAAGTGTCTGGCATTCCTTTGCTTACAGAGCCTAAAGAAGCAATCCAGGAGACTTACTCTGCACCAACCAAAATAGAAGTGTGGCTGCTAGTTCATGCATTTGAGATCAACTTCTATATTTTCTGGGTTTAAATTATTTGAAATGTGGGTATACACATGTATTCCCTCCATGAGTCCATACATATGTTAGGTTCAAAAAGACTGCATGAGAAATACGATTAAGATGTAGTTTCAGATTCACAATTACTTGCCCATGGATAGCTGTCATGGGAAAGAAGAGTATCCTGCTAAAGATTTTGAAGAAAACTCTCCTCCAACTTTCCTGCAACAGAATGGGACAATATGGAAGCTAGACCCAAACACAATTTACCTCAGGTCCACAGTGCTAATTACCCCTAGGGGGACTATATTTGAAAGAGAGAAAGAGCATGCAGGAGAGATGGAAAATAGCTTATTGCAGGGCTTTACAATTTCTCATATTGTTGTCTCCACTGTTGATTGCCCACAGAAGAATATTGATGGCTGCAATGATCGTCAGTCCAAAATTTGTGCTACTTCCTTCACAAACCCTCCCAATATACTCATCTTCCTCAGCGTTAATTCTAAGGTAACTCCATTGTTAGTACTTACACAGAAGTAATTTAGTAATAAGCAATAATGAAAAAAATGACATCCTTCTTGACCTATCAAGAGAACCAGTTAAACTTGTCTTAATTTTTTTTTTTACACATCCCAAAATAAAAACAAGAAGAAGGAAAAATAAGCAATCAAAAAAAAAGTATAACCCAAAAACAAATGAAAACCCCTCATATTTGTAATGTCATACTTAGGGAAAAGAAAACAAAACCAGCAATATTTTTCCAAGCAAGAGCCTAATTTGACAATTTAATGCACTGAGAAACTGTTGTTCTTCTCTTCTCAGCTGCCAATTGGCCAAGAGTTACAACTCTAGCACAGTAAACAAGTGATCAGTGAGTCTGGGAAGGGCTCAGCACACCAGACGCTCGGAAAATAGAAGCAAATAAAGCAGGAAAATCAACAGACATAAGCCAGTCAGCACAAGGTAGGTGATCCCATGTTCAGTAGTAGTGAAAGCACTGAGGGGAGAG